TATGTTCTTTCCTCGAACATCGCAAGCGATCTTCCCAACGCCGACCGTAGTCTACGTTCGGCGTTGGGAAGATCGCGTGCGATGTTCGATGTCAAAGCCAGCATAGCACTAACAGCAACACCAAATTCGATTCACACCATTAGAGGCCAGGAGGTGTGGACCAAAGTAAGGGCACGCAAATCCGACGTGGATTGGCGGATTGGCCCAACTGAGTTAGCGAGGCCATGTATGGCGTCCCCGTGGGTGGCGCTAGAAATCAAGAAGACAATTTGGTTGAAAACGCGCCCTCCTGGGGGACAGGAGGCAGGCAACGCGCACTAGCCAGGGCCAAGGGTATGTATAATTGGTTAGCTCCTTGAGAGCTTGTACCGTCCACCCTCAATTTCGCCTTCTAGAGCAGACCCACCTGTAGAGAGGCCCAGGGACACACAAATAGATAGACCAAAGTCCCAGGATCCTCCCTATCTAGTCGTGCTGTCTTGATGTCCGTCTTCCCATCCGCGTCCCATAGTTTCCCATATTTCCCTGGGGATCGACGATTATTGGTTGAAAATCTTACCTAACAGCGCAGACTGATAGATTTCTAGTAGGGTCAAAAGAGAGCATTATGACTCCCCAGGGGGGTCTGGGCGGCATCCGTCCGGACAGGGATCCGCGGAAGTCGTTTTAAGCAAACAGTTACACACCTCGTGCTCTTCGAGTTCCCAGAACTCCATTCCTGGGCATGATTTTGAATGCCCGGAGCCAACTGTAGGCCACTTCGTGGCCTTCGAATTCCCAGAACTCCATTCCTGGGCATGATTTTGAATGCCCGGAGCCAACTGTAGGCCACTTCGTGGCCTTCGAATTCCCAGAACTCCATTCCTGGGCATGATTTTGAATGCCCGGAGCCAACTGTAGGCCACTTCGTGTTCTTCAAGTTCCCAGAACTCCGTTCCCGGGCCACATTTTGAATGCTGAGGCAGGCTGAGGCTGAGGCTGATGCAGGCTGAGGCTGAGGCCGAGGCTGAAGGCAGACTGAGGCTGAGGCTGAAGCAGGCTGAGGCTGAGGCTGAGGCAGGCTGAGGCTGAGGCTGAGGCAGGCTGAGGCTGAGGCTGAGGCAGGCTGAGGCTGAGGCTGAGGCAGGCTGAGGCTGAGGCTGAGGCCGAGGCTGAAGGCAGACTGAGGCTGAGGCTGAAGCAGGCTGAGGCTGAGGCTGAGGCAGGCTGAGGCTGAGGCTGAGGCAGGCTGATGCAGGCTGAGGAGGCTGAGGCTGATGCAGGCTGAGGCTGCAGGCTGAGGCTGAGGCGAGGCTGAAGGCAGACTGAGGCTGAGGCTGAAGCAGGCTGAGGCTGAGGCTGAGGCAGGCTGAGGCTGAGGCTGAGGCAGGCTGATGCTGAGGCAGGCTGAGGCTGAGGCTGAGGCTGATGCAGGCTGAGGCTGAGGCAGGCTGAGGCTGAGGCCGAGGCTGAAGGCAGACTGAGGCTGAGGCTGAAGCAGGCTGAGGCTGAGGCTGAGGCAGGCTGAGGCTGAGGCTGAGGCAGGCTGATGCTGAGGCAGGCTGAGGCTGAGGCTGAGGCTGATGCAGGCTGAGGCTGAGGCAGGCTGAGGCTGAGGCCGAGGCTGAAGGCTGAGGCTGAGGCTGAAGAGGCTGAGGCTGAGGCTGAGGCTGAGGCTGAGGCTGAGGCTGAGGCTGAGGCAGGCTGAGGCTGAGGAGGCTGAGGCTGAGGCTGAGGCAGGCTGATGCTGAGGCAGGCTGAGGCTGAGGCTGAGGCTGCAGGCTGAGGCTGAGGCAGGCTGAGGCTGAGGCTGAGGCTGAGGCAGCAGGCTGAGGCTGAGGCTGAGGCTGAGGCTGAGGCTGCAGGCTGAGGCTGAGGCTGAGGCTGAGGCTGAGGAGGCTGAGGCTGAGGCTGAGGCTGAGGCTGAGGCAGGCTGAGGCTGAGGCCAGGCTGAGGCTGAGGCTGAGGCAGGCTGAGGCTGAGGCTGAGGCTGCAGGCTGAGGCTGAGGCTGAGGCTGAGGCTGAGGCTGAGGCTGAGGCTGCAGGCTGAGGCTGAGGCTGAGGCTGAAGGCTGAGGCTGAGGCTGATGCAGGCTGAGGGCTGAGAGGCTGAAGCTGAGGCTGAGGCTGAGGCAGGCTGAGGCTGAGGCTGACGCAGGCTGAGGCTGAGGCTGAGGCAGGCTGAGGCTGAGGCAGGCTGAGGCTGAGGCAGGCTGATGAGGCTGAGGCTGAGGCAGGCTGAGGCTGAGGCCGAGGCTGAAGGCAGACTGAGGCTGAGGCTGAAGCAGGCTGAGGCTGAGGCTGAGGCAGGCTGAGGCTGAGGCTGAGGCAGGCTGATGCTGAGGCAGGCTGAGGCTGAGGCTGAGGCTGATGCAGGCTGAGGCTGAGGCAGGCTGAGGCTGAGGCCGAGGCTGAAGGCAGACTGAGGCTGAGGCTGAAGCAGGCTGAGGCTGAGGCTGAGGCAGGCTGATGCTGATGCAGGCTGAGGCTGAGGCTGTGACTGCGACTGCCGTTGCCACTGCGACTGTCATCGCGAATGCGGCTGCGACTGCGAGCACGGCAAAATTCTACAACTGGATTCTCATCTGAATCTTAAGGGGAATGCTTCCAAATATGCTCCTACACATCGCTGTTAGGTTGCTGTGCCGGGATAATCTTATTCGGAGTTTCGACATGGGGCGTAGGGGGGGGCGTTTTGCTCAGGACCTATGCTTAATGCGACTGTTTCCAGCAGTGCGTCCTATGGGGGAGGCTCCACCTGCTAGACACAGGCGCCAAAAACAGCCAAGGTCTACTCCATGTGGGGGGGGAGGGGGGGATGCGAGGGCCCGCGCCGATCGGCAAAGCGAGGGACAAGAGAACGATCACAATTGTGCCTGTGCACTTGTGTTTTTCCCAACCATCCTGTGGTGTTGGGTCCTCGTTTTGAACAGACGGTGCCCCGCGTCTCGCCTTCCTTCCTTCCTCCTCCCCCTCCTCCCTCCTCCCTCCTCCCTCCTCCCCCTCCTCCCTCCTCCCTCCTCCCCAATCCATGCCTTTGCTCTCGGCACACCTCTCACACGCTTCGTAGCCCCATAGGGAGCTCCACCGAAGGTCCCAGCGGCACAGCCCGCATGCGTCCGCCACACCCAGTGCAGCGCTCCGTGGCCCCATAGGGAACTCCACCGAAGGCCCCAGTGGGACCGCCCGCATGCGTCATCCACCACTCAGTACAGCGCTCCGTGGCCCCATAGTGAGCTCCATCAAAGGCCCCAGTGGCGGGGGGCGCATGCGTCCGCCACACCCAGCACAGCGTTTCGTGGCCCCATAGGGAGCTCCACCGAAAGCCCCAGTGGAGGGGGGCGCATGCGTCCGCCACACCCAGTACTGCGTTTCGTGGCCCCATAGGGAGCTCCACCGAAGGCCCCCGTGGAACGGGGCGCATGCGTCCGCCACACCCAGCACAGCGCTTCGTGGCCCCATAGGGAGCTCCACCGAAGGCCCCAGTGGGAGAGGGGGGAGCGCATGCGTCCGCCACACCCAGCACAGCGCTTCGTGGCCCCATAGGGAGCCCCACCGAAGGTCCCAGTGGAATGGGGCGCATGCGTCCGCCACACCCAGCACAGCGCTTCGTGGCCCCATGAGGAGCGCCACTGAAGGCCCCAGTGGGGGGGGCGCATGCGTCCGCCACGCCTAGCACACCGCTTCGTGGCCCCATAGGGAGCTCCACCGAAGGCCCCAATGGGGGGGGCGCATGCGTCCGCCACACCCAGCACAGCGCTTCGTGGCCCCATAGGGAGCTCCACCGAAGGTCCCAGTGGAGGGGGGCGCATGCGTCCGCCACACCCAGCACGGCGTTTCGTGGCCCCATAGGGAGCTCCACCGAAGGCCCCAGTGGAGGGGGGGCGCATGCGTCCGCCACACCCAGCACGGCGTTTCGTGACCCCATAGGGAGCTCCACCGAAGGCCCCAGTGGAGGGGGGCGCATGCGTCCGCCACACCCAGCACGGCGCTTCGTGGCCCCATGGGGAGCTCCACGAAGGCCCAGTGGGGGGCGGCGTCCGCCACACCCAGCACAGGCCCCATAAGGAGCTCCACCGAAGGTCCCATGTGTGGGGGGGGGCGCATGCCACACCCAGCACAGCGTTTCGTGGCCCCATAGGGAGCTCCACCGAAGGCCCCAGTGGAGGGGGGCGCATGCGTCTGCCACACCCAGCATGGCGTTTCGTGGCCCCATAGGGAGCTCCACCGAAGGCCCCCGTGGAACGGGGCGCATGCGTCCGCCACACCCAGCACAGCGTTTCGTGGCCCCATAAGGAGCTCCATCGAAAGTCCCAGTGGGGGGGGGGCGCATGCGTCCGCCACACCCAGCACAGCGTTTCGTGGCCCCACAGGGAGTTCCACCGAAGGTCCCAGTGGGGGGGGCGCATGCGTCCGCCACACCCAACACAGCGTTTCGCGGCCCCATAGGGAACTCCACCGAAGGTCCCAGTAGGGGGGGGCGCATGCGTCCGCCACACCCAGCACAGCGCTTCGTGGCCCCATAGGGAGCTCCACCGAATGCAAAGACGGTGCTCACAATTGCATATGGTTGGGTCCTTCGCCAGGCTAATTTTGAGCAGGGACCGACCGTTCCGGCTTTAGTCCTACCACGAAATGTTCGCATAACCCCAACATGTTCTAACAAAAGCATTGTTCCTAGAACATAAACCCGATGTGTGAAAACAAGACAGCCCCACCCGGAAATGCTCGAAGAAAATCTCGTGGAAGCCACAACAAAAGGTTCTTAGAGCATTTGGTTGGTAGGGCTACAGGCGAACCAGGACGCTTCGCCACTGCTTGAGTTCTAACCCCTCCTGAACCTGACTACCTACCAGACCACCCCAACCCAACCCGAAGACCCGAATTTGACCCGAATTTCGGGTTGGGGGGGGTACGGATTCCATGTGTTTTTTCAATGTTCCCCGACCCCCCCCCACTGGAAATCGAGGATAAATTTGGGCCTTCGGGTTGGGTTGGGGTAGTTTGGTGGGTGGTGAGAACCTGTCCCTCCACGTCTGCAGCACGCCCTGCTCGGACACGACCATCGTCGCCTTCACGGGCAGCATCAGCGGCCGCAGGCGCAGCGCTGGCCGCTGGCCGCCCCGGCCCGGCCCGCCCGCGCGCCCGGGGGCGGGCGGGGACGAGGAGGAGGACGAGGACGAAGACGTGGACGCGCACGGTCCTGCGGGGAAGCCTTTTGTTTGTTCTTCCCCCATCTCGCCTCTCCCCCCTTGCCTCCCGCCTCTCGCTTCTTCCCCCCCTCGCCTATCCCAGTCCGCGCGCCCGTGGGAGGGCGGGGGCGAGGAGGAGGGCGAGGAAGAAGACGTGGACGAGCACGGTCCTGCGGCGAAGCCTTTTGTTTGCCCTTCCCTGGAGGAGAAGAAGACGGGGACCCTGACTAAGAATGAACGCGGCCACGTTGTGTCGATCTTGGTCGCCGTCGATCCTGGTCAGCGTCAGTTCGTGGATCATCCTTGCGAATCAGCGACGGCCGACATGGACCATGACCAAGATCGGCATCGGCAGAATCTCGCGACATCTTGGTCATGGTCCCCGTATGCCTTCCCTCGATTCCCCCTCTCGCCTCTCCCAAAGCTTCGCCAATCATCCCTGCAGCGTTGGCTCCCGCGCTGGTCCTGCGGCGAGGTTCGCTTTGCTGGAGGCCTCCCAGAAAAAGGGTCGGAATAGATGGGCTCGGAGGACCACGCCGCATCGCCGATGCATCGGCGACGTCGGCGCGGAGAGCATCGGACTCCAGATTGAGCCGCATCGCCGATGCATTGGCGATGCGGCGCGATCCTCCGACCCCACCCACTCCGACCCCATCTGGGGGTCCTAGCTTTGCACACCCAGAGCTCGCGAAGTGTACAAATCACGACGGGAGATTTGGGGTGGTTTTTGGCCTCCAGAGGCCCTCGCTGGGCCTCGGGACCGTCAACAAAAATATCTTGGGCTGAAGCGCTGGCCCTTTGAAGGACTGCCTGGAGCCGCGCATTGAAAAAGCAGATCATCGCACGCACGTCCCGGTTCGCACACGTCAGGCGTGCCATGGGACGGTCCAGGCTGCGTTCATGTCGGGCGTGTCCCCCTACAGGGGGATCTTCGACGAAAAATAGAAAATACCCCAAAAATACCTGCAAAAGGTAAAAAAATAATCGAAAACAGTCCCCAGACTATGTTTGGACTATTTTTGGCCTGTGTTTGGGGTATGTTGTATTTCTCATCGAAAATCGCCTTGTAGGGGGACAGGCCCGACCTAAGGCTACGTCACGAGGCACTGGACAGCAGCGGCTCACCCCAGCACTGAGCCCCTCCGGCGGTGCACGGAGGACTTGCTTGGGACTCCTCGGGCCCGGGTCCAGGGACGAACCGTAGTATGAGGTCGGGCATGTCCTCCTAAGCTAGAACACCAAGAAAAGCTGAAGAAGAACCACAAAGTATTCGGAAATCGTCCCCAGACTCTGTGTTGACTTTTGTTGCATAATCCTTCGGTCTGGCATGCCTATCCTTCGGTCGGGCATGTTCCCCTACAGGCGGATTCTTGATCGAACATGGTCCAAAAGTCGTCCCTCACTATTTTGGAATCCTCCTCCTGCAGAGAGGGACACGCCCGACTTGACCACGGTAACTCGGCCGGACCAGCGATCCCAGGGGCGGATCTCGGAGAGGCATCCATCGGGTTGAGGCAGGGCCCCCAGCCCACGAGAGAGCAGGAAGCCACGAGTGGACAGTCTGGCGCCCGTCGGGCAAAGTTCTGCGGGCCGATGGACTGACGGGCCATACGCCCGATTCGGGGCACCCTGTCAGAGCCTGTGTTCTTTCAGCCCCGGCAAATTTACCTGCATGGACGGGGTGGGGGGGCTGAGCCTGCAGCAAGCCGCAAGCGGCTTGCACGTGCGGAAATCACGCAAGTCGAAAGGCCCTTGCATGCTAGCATTCGTTTGACGAGGGGCGAGGTGGGGGGAGGGGGGCGAACGCCATGCAAGTAAGCTTGCCTGAACCTAACAAACAGGCTCTCAGCGGAGCAGCCACGTGGCCCACAAACGAACGGCAGCTTTCGCTGAACCCCGCTGGAGAGCACAATGCACCCAGATTATTCTGGATGCTGATGCGCTCTCCACTGTCCCTGTGTGCAGCCTCGCAGGCGTAGCGGTACAGTCGGACCTACACCCTGCGAAATGCTTAAGAAATCATGGGTTAAGAAATTCAGAGTCTCAGAACTTGAATAAAAACCCAACGTTTCTATCAAAATCTTAGGATTCACACTGAAACATTAAGAATAATCGAGACTCTGGCCGAAAGCTTAAGTTTTCTTAAGCATCGCCTAAGGTGTAGGACAGAAGAGCATGCCTCGAGAACATGAGACCCTCCGTCGGCTAAAACAAACCAAACATCCCAGGGTATCCTCCCCAGGGCGCACAAGAAAATCCAACAAGCACGAAGGCCTCGATCTTATGCCTCGGTGCGACTGTTGGTGTTCACAACCCCTCACCCAAACAGACCAACGCCATTCTCTGGATTGGCCGAGGGAGGGCGGGGGGGGGCGAAGCAAGCATCAAAAGGTGACCTGCCAGGGCAGGAAAAAACCTGGTGAAGAGGAATGCGCAGACCTGGGCGGGCTGCTTCCTTGATTCAAGATCGCGCGCGACATTGAGGGGCAAGGCGTAGCGGTGTGGGTTCGTTCGCTTCTGAAGAAAGATGAAGGGGCCCAGGGACACACAAATGAATAAACATAAATCCCAAGATTCCTCACATTTTCCTATGTTTTTGTTGATGACCGTCTTCCCCCCCAACTCCCATAGCTTCCCAGATTTTCTGGGGAATCGACGATGACTTGTGTCTGTGTGCTCTTTCTCCTCCTGACAAGAACAGGGGAGAAAGCAAGGCCCGGTCCTGGAGAGAACACGCCCGGCCCGCGCTTCCCGAGGAAGCTGGCCTCAAGCAGGGCAGCACGTATCGAATAGAACGAGCACCGTAGGTGGCAGTGGTGGTCCTCCGCCACGACGTCACCCTTACGAGGGGATTCAAAACTCGAGTCCGAGTTCTTCAGTACAGTGGAGGCCCGACCACAAGAAACCTCCCACAAGAAACCCAACCCTGAGACCCCAGGATGTCCACTCATTTTTGGTATGGGCACGTCACGCCTTCCATGGCAGAGCCGTCAAAACCCAAGAAACCCAGGGCACCCTGGAGGCAAGAAAGGTATATCCTGGCATGGGTTTCCACTGTAAGCGTCGGGGAAAGGGAGGGGTGGGAATGCGTGGGGGGGAAATGAGGTATATATCAAACAACCTGGAGTAATGTAGATCGAGGGGGCAGAATCAGTCAGCCTCGAAGCGGAGACGGGATTGGATTGGTTCGGAACGTGCGCCAGATCGGGCGATACTTCGGCACACGGAGTCGAAATTTCGAAGCGGATCGGACGAGCCAGGAGGCACACCGGCACCAAGCAAGCCTCAAGACGCATCGGGCAGTCGGGCATATCTGGATCGAACCGGATCAGATCGGACCCGCCGGGACCGCTGTCGAACAACATCGACCAGACCGAAGCAGACCCTGGGGGGGGGGGCTATAGCTCAGGACAGCTAGGCTACCTATGTGTCGAGAAGAAGCCTGGAAGCCCAGACGTTCGATGTCGTGACCTGATCACAGAGTGGCTCTCCAAAGGTCTGGGCCCCCTCTGGGTCGATGTTCGACTGAGCCAGGGCCCGTGAAGGGCCCGCGGAGGCCGAAACCTGGCAGAAACGACCCGTCGCGCTCTGTTCACGACGCGAGGATGCCAGGGATAGAAGAGGACGCCCGCGGCAGCTGGGGCGAGGCGCACCCGGCCAGAACAGGCCGACGTTCCTGACCCACCACCACGGGCGGCCTGCTGTCAGGGGGCCTGCCTTCGAAGAAGACATAACGGCATGAGCATAAACTTTTGGAGCTCCGTGCGGATTTCTTGGATCCGCGCTGCCCCCCCTCCCTGGCGCGCTTCGGAGGCGGCGCCGTGGGTGCCCCAGCGCCGATCCAAGAAATCCGCGCGGACCTTATGTTTACGCAGTTTGAAGGAAAGCCGGCCTCCTGGCAGCAGGCTGCCCGTGGTGGTGGGTCAGGAACGCCGGCCTGGTCTAGCAGGCTGCGCCTCACCCCGCCTGCCGCAGGCGCCCCTGGACCCGCATTCTCGTCGGGCCCGACCAAGAAGAATACAAACACAAACGGATCCCAAGAGACCCCATGAAGCCTTCCAAAAAGGCGCATTGTCCGCGACCCAGATTGTTCCCCCCGCGCCTCCTCCTCCTCCTCCTCCTCCTCCTCCTCCACTCCTCCTCCCTCCTCCTCCTCCTCCTCCTCCTCCTCCTCCTCCTCCTCCTCCTCCTCCTCCTCCTCCTCCTCCTCCTCCTCCTCCTCCTCCTCCTCCTCCTCCTCCTCTCCTCCTCCTCCTCCTCCCTCCTCCTCCTCTCCTCCTCCTCCTCCTCCTCCTCCTCCTCATCCTCCTCCTCCTCCTCTCTCCTCCTCCTCCTCCCGCCCTCCTCCTCCTCCTCCTCCTCCTCCTCCTCCTCCTCCTCCTCCTCCTCCTCCTCCAACTCCTCCTCCTCGTCCCCTATCGAGTCCCCTATCCTCCTTCTCGCCCGCCATAGGCACACCAACATGCAGCAACCGTGGTGCAATATAGACTGGCGGAATGAGCGAACCGATCCGCCGCCCCACCGGGTACGGCGTGTGAGATCCCCGCTGCACTGTCTGCAAGAATTTTTTCCCCTGTCCCCTCGCCCACGCACTCCTCGAACCAAATCCTTTCCTCAGAACCCTGGCAAACCCTCCTGGGGTTCTCCCCGCGGGCTGCTCATTGAGCTGGCAAAGGGGCCCGGGCTGCGCACCGGGCGTCCCCTGGCGGCCATGCTGCCTTCAACTCGAGCAAGTCTTCGCACGGTAAACACTTCTGGATCCCTCCAGGCGCCGTTTGGAACCTCTCTGGGAGCCCTCCTGGGCAGTCTGCGGACCCTCTTGGACCCCTCTTGGGTTCGTTTGGCCCGTTCTTGGGGCTCTCCAGGGCCGTCTCGGAACCCTCCGAAGCCCTCTTCGAGGCATGCTCAGCCAAAAAAAATCAGAAGCCAAAAACCTTCAAAAACCCTAGTTGTCTGCCACCTCAGGGGCGTTCAATGAAATAAACGACCTTTGAGGCCGAGAACAAGAAATGCTTGAGCGGCGCAAGAGGGCCCCAAGACGGCCGCAGGGGCGCCCAAGACGGCCCGAGAGAGGAGGGGCCCAAGAAGGGCAACTCGAGCTGGCAGTGCGAGCCCTCCGCCCCCAGAGACGCCAGAGAACCCCCCAAGAAGCCCCAAGAGGCCCTCAGGAGACCAAAGAAAAGCACCAAAAGGACCACCAACAGACCCCCAACAGGCCTCAGCCGTGGACGTGTTGCTCCTCAGGGGGTCGGCTGGAACGGCGTAGGCCACTTGAAGAAACTGTCGAGCGACCCTAGACCGCCGGGGCCGCGCCTCTCTGGGCGCCACGCGAACCATAGCAGGCAGCAGCGCCCGAAGCGCAGGCGGGGGGTCACCATACCGAGGGGGGAAGAGACATCAATCTCTCGCCGCCAGGAGCGCTGCCCCCCTGCTTTGGCGGCGCGCACAGAGGGGTGGAGGGAGGAGGGAGGGCTTCTTGGAAGGAGGCTGCTTCTTAGAAGGCGCCGGCCTTCCATCCATAGACAAGGCCCGCGCCTTCTAAGAAACAGGGGTGCTTCTAAGAATTCCTCCCCCCTCCCCCCACCCCCCTCTGCGCGTGGCCGAGAAGAGACATCAACCTCTCGCCGCCAGGAGCGCCGCCCTCCTGCTGCGAGGAGGACGGGGGGAGGGGGAGGGGGGCGGATGGCGCCTGCCCGCCTAATCCTGGGGCTGGCACTACGGGCAACGCCCCGTCCGGGCTGCCGGCTCGACGAGGGAGCCCTGGAGCAAGGAACCAAGGCCCCCCCCACGGGGCCAGTCTGGGGCGACGAGATCTGCACCACTCAGGGATCTTCTGACCCGGGTCAATCCAGACCCGGGTCGGTCAGGCACTGCAGAATCCTGCAAGATCCTGCAACGTCCTGCACCCAGACCCGGGTCCATGCGAGGGATCCTGCAAAATCCTGCAGGATCCTGCACCAAAATCCGTGTCAGTGCGACCCTGGCCCTGCAGGATCCTGCAAGCAACGGCGCTCTAACTGACACCCGTTTGCATTGACCCCCGTCTCTTGAGCCCCGAACCACATCCACTGCTGCCGACCCGGCCCATCCTGTGGTATCAGGAGGGTTAGGACGCGTGGGAATGTGCACCAACACCAACACCAGAGGTTGCCTCCACGGGAGGAAGATGATCCTGGCTCTTGGTGTTGGTGGTAATCTTTCGGCCACCTAGGAAGCCCGAATATTACCACCATCACCGAGCTCGGGATCATCTTCCTTCGGTGGTAGCACACCGCCGATGTTGGTGTTGGTGTCAATCTCTAGGCATCCGAAGGGTGTGTACGCCGTCCTGGCTCGGTCAGGGAGGCACACACACAACCGAGCACCGCTCCTGGACCCAGGATGGGCCTGGCCAGAGGCAGCGGGCCCGTACGTATAGCTCCCGTCGCCCGAGGGTTGCGCAGAGATGCAGCAGGAACGCGAGTGGCAAGCTCGTGGAAGGACCCAAAGAACATCGAGCCCCCTTCGAAAACAGAGAGGGCCTCATCCCAAAGGCTTGCCTGCAACGCGCTGGATCCCCGCCGTGCTACTTTTGGATTTTGAGCCGACCGGCCTCGTGTGCCCGGGCGCGTACAGCAAGCAACAGAGGCAAAGAATAGGTACTGAACACCATGTGCCCCGCCCCGTAGCGCAGCCCAGAGACGCCTCCGAACTCGTAGACGGAGGTCGTGTACGCGTGGACTCGCGACACCATCGGCGCGCTTTGGAAGTTCCGGAACGGCAGCTGTGGCGCCTGCCACATGGTCCACCGATGCAGCTCTGCGTTCGGGAGTCCACAGAGAGTCTCAAACTCACAACCGATCTGGTCGAAATAGCTTGGGTGGAAGATGGCATCCGCGTCGGCGACTGTCAATAACACTCTTTCTGCATCAAGCCCGTCTAGCTGGCACTGCTCATAGAACTGCCGCACCGCCCATTTCAGGTTCGACGCCTTGCCCGGCACCTCGGCATCGCTGGAGCCGTCTAAGTGCAACTCGCGCAAGCCCGTGGGATGGCTTGTGACCTCAACCCGTGCGAAGCGTTGGGCGAACTTTTCTCTCAATCTGAGGGCCTTCTGCTGGCCGTCGCACTCTCGCTCCTCCATGGCCAGGACCACGTGGAAGGCCTCCGAACCGTCTGCCTGGGCAATGGCCTCCAGGGACAGGCTCAGCAGCTGCTCCTCCTCACAGTAGCTGGGAATCACGACGAGGTGCACCACACCGCTCGGCCGGCCCACGAGGCGCTCTGCCGCACCCTCCGAGGCGTCCTCCCTGCACAGAGACTCGCCTCGCAGCCGCTCGCGAAGAGTCCTGGCGCCGAGAATACACATCAGGCCGCTCTGAGTCATGCCCAAGCCGATGCTGAGGTTGAAGGCTGCGCACAATATCAGCAGGAGCCTGGGGGAGAGGAGCGCCAGGGCAACCGCCAAGAGTGTGACGAGCAGAAAAAACGCCAGCGGAGTCGCTCTGGCAACCAGGGCCGCGGGGCGCCTTTCGTGTATGTTGCCCAAATGGACTGGGCAAACTTCATCGTAAGAGCACGAGTCCAACACGGAACGCTCGGACGCCATGCGCCAAACAGTCCACGCTGTGCTACCGGTGAAAAAATATACTGACGCGAACCTGCGAACAAATACGGCAACGGAAATAATGGTGGCATTGGTGGCACTAGTGCTGGTGCCCTGCAGGTGTATGTCGCGCTTAGAGACCGAGACACACACACACACACACACACACACACACACACACGCGCACACGCGCACACGCGCACACGCACACGCACACGCAAACGCACACGCACACGCACACGCACACGCAAACAAACAAACAAACAAACACGCACTCAGGAGCGAATCGCATCGTGTGGTGTCGTGTCACATCGCATCATCGCACAAACACTATTACGCGCTTGGCTCAACGGTGCGCTCGAAAACACGTCGCACCCGTCCGCCTCTGCACATCTCGCATCGAGTGCACACACGCCAGCTTTACAGTGCCGATCAATCCTTGTACTGTAAAGTTGCGGTCCCTTCGATTAACCATGGGCCCCCTGCCGTTCACGATCGCACACATGTGAACAGCAGGAGAAGGCGCCCAATCAAGTTGTAGCAGTAAGCCAAGCTGCTACCGCCCCGCGCGCGGGGAGCCATCAGCCATCGGCCACGACACCTGAATCGCAACGCTTGACGAGATCAGGTGCTATGATTAATGCCATGTTCGTACCTGTACGTCGTGGAGTCCTTGAGACCGAGAGGAAAGGCTTTCCTTAACTCATGTCTCCATCCCACTTCCAGACGCAGGTGGAGGCTGTGCAAACGAATGCAGGAAACGCGCGCGTACACAAATGCGTGGGTGTGCAAGACAAGGCACGCGCCGGGGGGGCCGGTCCCGGACTGTGGTGTTCAGCCCCACGGTGGATCGCAGAACGCATGCGGCCACGATGAGCAGCACAAGACTGCGGGTCGGGACTCGGTTGCTGCTGCTCTTCCTCCGCCTCCACCTCCACGTTCTCGTCCTTCAACGTTACAAGATAATACATATATATATACATATATATATACACATACACTACAGCCACGCGCGCGCTTCGCAGGCGCTGAGGTTCAAGCGCAAGCCCAACTTAGATCATATGGGAACCACCCGCAATGGTCATCATATAGGAGTGGACATCCTGATGAGCGCATCATGAAGCTACGAATGATGGGCAAGCGCGCCCAAAGCTCCCGTTTGCATCGAGTAGCTACACCGTGCCTGGATCTGCTTGGCGATCTGTTGTAGTGTCTTGGCATGCTTCGTCTGGCCAGATAGCCATATTGCCAAAGAGTGCTGCGCAAAAGCCCCAAGCATCTCGAGGGGCACCGATATCTCATACAAGCCCGCCCACCACGCCTGACTCCGCTGCTGTTCCTTCGGCATGCCTGCTGTTCCTTCTTCTCCCTTCTCCTCCTCCTCCTCCTCTTCCTCCTCCTCCTCCATTCCTTTCCCTCATAAATGACTTCTCCCTGTCGCACCCCGAGGCCAGTTTTTAGGGCGGACCGGGCGTTTCGCCTGAGACTTCCTCAACAATTATGACTCTGAAGCTTAAAAAAAGTAGCAGCTTCACAGATGGAGGGCGGGTCGTTTTCAAAATGTGGCTCTCGCCTTAGCGCCGCGCACTTTCGTTCTCAAAATCTGCAAGAATTTCACGGATTGAGGGCAAGTGGTTTTCAAAACGTGGCTCTCGCCTTAGCGCCGCGCACTTTCGTTTTTAAAAATTTGCACGGGCTTCACGGATTGAGGGCGGGCCGTTTTCAAAATGTGGCTCTCGCCTCAGCACCGCGCACATTCGTTTTAAACAGTTGCAAACGCTTCACGGATTGAGGGCGGTTCCTTTTAAAACGTGGCTTTCGCCCCAGCGCCGCGCACTTTCGTTTTAACAATTTGCAAACATTTCACGGATTGAGGGCGGGTTCTTTTAAAAATGTGGTTATCGCCTTAGGGCCGCGCACATCATTTTAAACATTTGCAAGAGCTTCACGGATTGAGGGCGGTTCCTTTTCAAAATGCGGCTCTCGCCTTAGCGCCGCGCGCACTATTTCCAAAGCTTTGCAAGCAATTCACGGATTCCCATGATCAGCGTACCAGAAATTGTGTCCTGGAAAGATTCACGATCATGCGGTTGCAATAGTTATGTTCGTTAAGCGGTGTCGACGTCCCGAAATGGCGTTCTGGCACGATTCTGGATCGTCAAGACGCAGCAGTCAGGTTGATCCGTGGTGTCGAACTCCCGGGAACAATGTTTCGGCATGCTTCAGGAAGTTCAAACGGTTGTCTTCCAACGAGGCAGTTCCCTCAATGGAAATGAACCGTTGTAGGGGCCTATGAAGAGGGAGCTTGGGGAGAGAGTTAATTCCAACATCGTTGATGATTCGGGGGTTACGTACACTGGTCCTCCTCCTCCTCCTCCTCCTCCTCCTCCTCCTCCTCCTCCTCCTCCTCCTCCTCCCTCCCTCCTACTCCTACTCCTACTCCTACTCCTACTCCGCCTCCTCCTCCTCATCCTCCCTCTTCCTCATCTCCTCCTCCTCGCGCAATTCCTTCTCCTCCCTCCTCCCGCCTCCCGCCTCCCTCCTCCCTCCTTCTCCTCCTCCTCCTCCTGCTCCTGCTCCTGCTCCTGCTCCTGTTCCTCCTCCTCCTCCTCCTCCTCCTCCTCCTCCTCCTCCTCTTCAGTACCAGCGGGCGCGCCAGCATGGCGGCACCGCGCCCATTGCGGCACACCACTCACACAAACCATGCCCCACAGGGAGCTACATCCACGGCCCCAAGTGAGTGCGCCCGCATGGCGGCACCGCGCCCGTTTCGGCACACCCCACACACGCACAAACGCCCGCACGCACGCACGCACGCACACGCACGCACGCACGCACGCACGCACCCACGCGCACGACGCACGCACGCACGCACGCGCGCGCGCACGCACGCACGCACGCAAGCACACGCACGCACACGCACGCACTCGCACGCACACGCACGCACACGCACGCACGCGCACGCAGGCGCACGCACGCACGCGCACGCGCAGGCACGCACACGCACGCACACGCACGCACACGCACGCACACGCACGCACACGCACGCACGCGCACGCACGCGCACGCGCGCGCACGCGCACGCACGCACGCGCACGCGCGCGCACGCGCACGCACGCGCACGCACGCGCACGCACGCGCACGCACGCGCACGCACGCGCACGCACGCGCAGGCACGCGCGCGCACGCGCGCGCACGCACGCGCACGCGCACGCACGCGCACGCACGCGCACGCACGCGCAGGCACGCGCAGGCACGCGCAGGCACGCACACGCACGCACACGCACGCAGGCGCACACGCGCACGCACGCACGCGCACGCACGCGCACGCGCGCGCGCACACGCGCACACGCACGCACACGCACGCACACACACGCACGCGCACGCACGCGCACGCGCGCGCACGCACACGCACGCGAACGCGCGCGCACGCGCACGCACACGCACGCGCACGCACGCACGCACGCCCGCACGCGCGCGCACTCGCGCGCACGCGCGCGCACGCGCACGCACGCGCACGCACGCACACGCACGCGCACGCACGCGCAGGCACGCGCAGGCACGCGCACGCGCCCGCACGCACACGCACGCACGCGCACGCACGCGCACTCACGCGCACTCACGCGCACGCACGCGCACGCACGTGCGCGCGCGCACGCGCACGCACGCGCACGCACGCGCACGCACGCGCACGCGCGCGCACGCGCACGCACGCGCACGCACGCGCACGCACGCGCACGCACGCGCACGCACGCGCACGCACGCGCACGCGCACGCGCACGCGCGCGCACGCGCGCGCACGCACGCGCACGCACGCGCACGCACGCGCACGCACGCGCACGCACGCGCACACACGCGCACAAACGCGCACACACGCGCGCACACACGCGCACACGCGCACACGCGCACACGCGCACACGCGCACACGCGCACACGCGCACACGCGCGTACGCGCACACGCGCACACGCGCACACGCGCACACGCGCACACACGCACACACGCACCCATGCACACACACACACACACACACACACACACACAACAATCCTGCCCCACAGGCAGCTCCACCCACGGCCCCTGTGTGCGCGCCCGCATGGCGGCCCCGCGCCCATTTCGGAACCCATGGGCCCAGTGGGCGCGCCCGCATGGCGGCACTGCGCCCCACAAGGAGCTCCATTCACGGCCCCAGCGGGCACGCCCACATAGCGGCACCACGCTCATGTCGGCACACCCCTTACGCAGATGATGCCCCGTAGGTAGCTGCAACTACGGCACCAGTGAGGGCGTTCGCAAGTGAGCCAGAGCCAATTTCGGCGCATCCCTCGCGTGTGCAACTCCGCATACGCATCAGTGGGCGCGTTCGCCAGGAGGCCCCGCCCCAAGCCGGTGAGCCCCTCACGCGGATCGCGCCCACTGGGAGTTCCTATGCGCGCTTGCTCCGCAGCCTCATATTCTCACTGCCTCGGCGCGCAGTATATGAAGAGAGGGTCGCGCCCACACACAGCTGCATTTGGTTGAGCCCTTCGCCAGCCTAATGGTTCGCCCATCCTCACCCCCAAGCCTGCTGGAGAAGTCATATGCGACCACTCTGAGGACACCGGGACACCCACGAATTGTCTTCAGCCTCTCGGGCCCTGTTGGGAAGGCTCTTGTGACACTTTGGAGCAATCCAGGAGCCACCTGACACCGCCATGGAAGAGTTCTGAAGATCACAGGGTCCTGGCCCAGCTCCGTGTGGCTGCGGGCGCGGCTGAAACGCACATTCATACAAATACTGTGCCCTTGGGGCTTCTTGTCGGCGCAAGAAGGGACTTCTTGACGCCTTTGGGGGGGGGGGCATACCCGGCCCCATAAATATCGGCGCTTCGGAGCCTTCTGAAGGCATCCTGGGCCTCCGGGCGCCTTCTGCGGGCACTCTGAGGCACACGGCGGGCACACGGAGGCCACGGAGTCGTGTTTTTGAAAGGCTACAGGGCGTGCCTCGGCGCCGATTGCGCAAGAGTCTCCCGCGCGAAAAAGGCATAGATGCACTTCGTCACTGTTTGATGCGGGATCACGCTAGGAACTGAAACCGGTGCCAGGACGCGAGATTGGGGATGTCGTATCAGCCAGCGTTGACTCCAAACAGATTGGACGACTCAAATCAAGGAATCAGAGGAATCAAGCATGCTTGGAATCCGCAACTCAGCAAGCAAGCAAGCGTGCAAGCAAGCGCGCAAGCAAGCAAGCAAGCAGGCATAGGCATAGGCGTAGGCCTAGGAGTTAGGGGGAGGCATAGGCATAGCCATAGCCATAGGATTTGTTTGGGGGGGGCATAGGAATTAGGGGGGGGCACCGGACCAATTAGTAGGGTTTGAGCTAGGACTCCTATAGATCAAGCCTATGTGGAGAATCTTTTACAAGAAACCCAACCCTGAGACCCCAGGACGTCCATTGATTATTGGTGTGGGAACGTCACGCTCTGGACGGCAAGACCATCGAAACCCAGGAAACCCAGGGCACCCTAGGGGCAAGTGAGGTGCTTCTTGGCATGGGTCTCCTCCCTATCCTCTCCATCCAACCTTGTATTTTGATGGTTCACTTCCGTCGAACACCCGCGTGACGCGGGCGGGCACCCGAGCAGGATGGCCACGTACTTGCGCGCCAGCACCACCGCGCAGCTCCCCACCTTGAAGGACATGACCTGCCGCGCCGCTTGGGCTGGCGGGCGGCTCCTTGCCGGCAGCTCGAGAGGAATGGGGGGGGGGGGGGGGGGGGGGGCAAGCTTCGGTGGCATCTCATGGGAGCCTCCCATACCCATCTCGCTGGCTCTTGCGAATCGACGCCAGTCGACGCGAAATCAACGCTTATCGACGCTAATCGACGCTAATTCGGCGCTATCTCATCGACTCCCAGACGCTAATCGACGCTAGTCGACGCCAAAAACAGAATTACAAGGGTACACAAGGCTCCTATGACTTGCTACCGAAGGCAAGCTGCGCGGTCGACGCCGTGTTCCAACACGCCCCTGTATTGGAGGAGCAAGCAACTGCATGAACCTAAACTTTCGGAGGCTCGCGCGGAGCTCCGAAGGTGCATATCGATATAGAATGCTTCTCATTCGAAGCACGCACCTGCATCCACCACTCTGCCAGATGGAACCAAGTCCTAGCTCCCACGAGCTCTCAAGGACAATGCTGGTGACTGAATGTTAGCCAGTGCGGATCGCATACAGTAGGCTCTTGCACTCCAGGTGCACAATCTGCGTGGTGCAATCTGCGAATGGGGCATGATATGTGGTGTAACCTTCTTGGGATGCAACGAACATACCGTCTGTGTGGCGCAATCTACGTGGTGCAGTCGATGCACCGTACTACTTGTGGTGCAGAACATTCAGAACACACTGCCCGCTGAAATGCAAGGAGAGCCGTATAGACGTCTAGTATGTATCCGAGGGGGGGGGTGAGATCGAAGTGGAACGAAGAGCCCCCCACCGGGAAATCGGCTTCGGCTTCGGGTTCGTGTCGTGCGTGCGGGCGAGGCGAAGCTGCATGGGCGTGCGAGATGCATGGCCCCGCTATGGTTAGGGCGGGTCAAGAGCCGTCGACCGCCCCTTCTCCCTCCCCAGTGGGCGGGCGTTGACCAGGTTGCCCCGCCCTGGTGTCCCGTCGATGTCCGCCTCTCTCCCTCGGTGGGCGGGCGCTGGCCGCGTTGTCCCGCCGCGGTGGCCCGTCGGTGTCCCCCTTTGGTGTACCGTCGCTGTCCCGTCGCTGTCCCAGCGCTGTCCCATCGGTGTCCCGTCGGTGTCCCGTCGCTGTCCTGTCGGTGTCCCGTCGGTTTCGCGTCGGTGTCCCGTCGATGTCCCGCCGGTGTCCCGTCGGTGTCCCGTCGGTGTCTCGGTGTCCCTCTGTGGTGTTCCGTGGCTGTCCCGTCGCTGTCCCGTCGGTGTCCCATCGGTGTCCCGTCGGTGTCCCGTCGGTTTCGCGTCGGTGCCCCGTCGGTGTCCCGTCGGTTTCCCGTGGTGAGATCGATAGTGAGATCGATAGTGTTGCCGATAGAGAGATCGATCGAAAGATCAAGCGAGTGAGATTGATAGTAAGACCGACGGTGAGATCGATAGTGAGATCGATCGCGAGATCGATTGGTGCTCCGATGGTGTCCCGATAGTGTCCCGTGGTGTCCCTTCAGTGTCCCGTCGGTGTCCGCGGGTGTCCCGTCGGAGTCCCGTCGGTGTCCTGTGGTGCCCCGTGGTGAGATCAATGGTGAGGTCGATAGTGAGACCGATAGTGAGATCGATAGTGACATCGGTAGTGAGAGCGATGGTGAGATCGATAGTGAGATCGAGCGAGATAGATCGATAGTGAGATCGAAAGTGAGATCGATTGGTGTCCCGATGGTGTGCTGATTGTTTCCCGTGGTGTCCCGTCGGTGTCCCGTCGATGTCCCGCGGCTGTCCCGTCGCTGTCCCTTCGGTGTCCCATCGGAGTCCCGTCGGTGTCACATGGTGGGTGTCCCATGGTGTCTCGATGGTAAGGTTGATCGAGTGAAAGCGGTAGTAGGACCACATCGCGATGCAGCATCGTCACCACGCGTCGTCGCCAACTCGAGGGCGCCTCACCAGCATCGTCATCAGCACCGCCATCGCAGTTGTCGTCAGTTGGACATCTCTGCCCCCCACCAAGCTCCTGTATGGGTGTGTACAGCGGCGTATGCGGTACAATCTACGCGGTGCAACGTGTGCAAAAAGCCCTGCTTGGCGCCATCCGTGCGGTGCCCAATCGTGTGGGGCAAGAGCCGGAGCAGCCAGCTTACGAAGCGACCATGAGACGGACTCGCCGAGAGTCTGGCCATCGCTCGGACGTCCATTTCCTGTGTTTTTCCCTACCTAAGCTCTGCCTAGAGGGTTCTTACTCTCTTAGCTTAAAGGGGCCGGGCAGTGCAAAGCGCCCCGGGCGGTTCCCCCAGTCCCCGCCCCGCGGTTCCCCCAGTTGCGCCCCCTGGGTTCACACAGCTTAGCTTAGCTTCAGCTTAGCTTTAGCTTAGCTTTAGCTTAGCTTTACCTTAGTTTTAGCTTAGTTTTAGCTTAGCTTTAGCTTAGCTTTAGCTTAGCTTCAGCTTAGCTTTAACTTAGCTTTAGCTTAGCTTCAGCTTAGCTTCAGCTTAGCTCTGGCTTAGCTCTAGCTTAGCTTCAGCTTAGCTTCAGCTTAGCTTCAGCTTAGCTCTAGCTTAGCTTTAGCTTAGCTTTAGCTTAGCTTCAGCTTAGCTTTAGCTTAGCTTTAGCTTAGCTCTAGCTTAGCTTCAGCTTAGCTTTAACTTAGCTTTAGCTTAGCTTCAGCTTAGCTCTAGCTTATCTTTAGCTTAGCTTTGGCTTAGCTTTAGCTTAGCTTTAGCTTAGCTTTAGCTTAGCTTCAGCTTAGCTTCAGCTCAGCTTTAGCTTAGCTCTAGCTTAGCTTTAGCTTAGCTTCAGCTTAGCTTTAGCTTAGCTCTAGCTTAGCTTCAGCTTAGCTTTAACTTAGCTTTAGCTTAGCTTCAGCTTAGCTTTAGCTTAGCTTCAGCTTAGCTCTAGCTTAGCTTTAGCTTAGCTCTAGCTTAGCGTTAGCTTAGTGTTAGCTTAGCTTTAGCTGTCGCTTTAGCTCAGCTTTAGCTTAGCTTTAACTTAGCTTTAGCTTAGCTTTAGCTTAGCTTTAGCTTAGCTTTAGCTTAGCTTTATCTTAACTTTAGCTTAGCTTTTCTGTTACTAATAATGCTTATTTCCTAGGGGCTCCAACTCCTAGGTAGGGTCGCACTGGGATAATGTTCGGTTTCGTGCGTGGTTTTTTCGCGAGATGATCAAGGATGCTCCTCGATGGTCATCGCCGAAGGAAAATGCACACGTCCGAGCGATGCCAAGGAGTCGGAAACGCCAGCTGGCGCAGGAGGCGGAGACGAGGAGGCCTCTTCGAGTGGGCAACGAGGCGCCTGCACCGTGGGGTCGGACGCGGGATGCTTGTCGGGGGCGGCCAAGAGGGGGGCGGCCAAGAGGGGGGGGGGCAAACCATGGCCGGCGGCACGTGCGCGGCCCAGGGGGTGGGGCAGGGACGCGCTGAAACGAGAAGAGGCGCCATGAGATCTGGGGAGATGAAGTGACATGAGAGGGGACGTGATGAAATGAGACGGGACGTGATGAAATGAGAGGGGACGTGATGAAATGAGAAGGGACGTGGCGAAATGAGAAAGGATCTGGAGGCAGGGACGTGATGAAATGAGAAGGGACGTGGTGAAATGAAATGAGAAGAGGCGCCATGATATCCACCCCCCGCTGGTCCTCACCCCCTCCTGGCCGCGGGGCGCGACGCCTCGAGGGGGGCGGGGGCGCCGGTGCCCGCGTGACGGGCAGCAGGCAGCGGGGGGAGGTGCCGAGCACGCAGGCGGGCGCGGGCGACGAAAGGAAGCGTGCAGGACAGAACGCACGCCGACTGGCGTGAAGTGGCCCTCTCCCACCCGAACGTTGTCTGTCGTTTTGTGCTCGCTCTGTGCTTCGTTTTGCCCTGCCCTGCCACAACGAGAAACAAAAAACAGCCGAAGTCCAGCAAAACAGCGTTTAAATCCCGCCCTGCCCTGTACCACGCACTCCGCGGGCGCCAAGACGAGCAAACTGTGTCGGTGCGGCAGATGCGCCGCATTGGTGTGCCTGCGAGTGCCTGTTCTCCCCTTGGCAGTATGTATACACTCCTGCTTCTCTTGGCATCACGTCTACTGCGACAATCTCGACAAGATCGCTGAGTCAGGGTCGGATACAGTTCCACACACAAGGGTATCTGAATACAGGCATCGACGGAAAGTCCTGGCACGCCTCGGCATTCGGGCCTGCCACCTGGATCCCAACACGTCACCACCAAAAGCGCCCCAAAAGCTGATCGCCGACGCCGCGAGACAGAATCAGCAGCAGCAGCAATAGCAGCAGCAGCAGCAGCAGCAGCAGCAGCAGCAGCAGGAGTAGTAGTAGTAGTAGTAGTAATAGTAAAAGTACTAGTACTAGTACTAGTACTAGTACTAGTACTAGTACTAGTAATAGTAATAGTAATAGTAATAGAATAGTAATAGTAATAGTAATAGTAATAGTAATAGTAATAGTAATAGTAATAGTAATAGTAATAGTAATAGTATATAGTAGTATAGTAGTAATAGTAATAGTAATAGTAATAGTGATAATAATACTAATAGTAATAATAATAGTACTAGTACTAGTAATAGTAATATTAGTAGTAATAGTAATAGTAGTAGTAATAGTAGTCGTCGTCGTGGTAGTAGTCGTAGTCGTAGTCGTAGTAGTAGTAGTAGTAGTAGTAGTAGTAGTAGAAATAGAAATAGTAGTAGTAGTAGTAGTAGTAGTAGTCGTCGTCGTGGTAGTAGTCGTAATAGTCGTAGTAGTCGTAGTAGTCGTAGTAGTCGTAGTAGTAGTAGTAGTAGTAGTACTAGTAGTAGTAGTAGTAGTAGTAGTAGTAGTGGCAATAGAAGAAGTAGTAGTAGAAATCCGCCGACCCTGTCGGCGTGTGCGAGGGGCTTGGCTGTTCGAGTCGTCGTCTCCGTCGGTCGTCGCCTCCGTCGTCCCCTTTCCCTGCAGCTTCCTTCTCAAGCTCGTGAGCGAGAGAAAAATCTAGCAGTGTCGTAATCGAGTCGAAGGGAAGCCCCTTCCCCAGAGGGGGGGGGGGTCCCGGGGGGGGT